AACTCAGTTATTATCCGTTAATAAACTGATAATAATTGAAAAGGAGCGTCTGTTCACAGCAGACATCTTGCCCCTATAAATATGAAGTTATCTCTTCTTCTTCTTTGTCTCTTGAACCCAGAAACAAACCCCTACTATTATCTAAATAAAACAGCTCCTTTTTGCACTTCGATTGCTGCAGAAATCCGTGTACAAAAACTATTGTTTTGTCGCTTTCCAAAGGACAGTTCAGTGGTTGATCTTGCTAGTACAAAAGCAAGATCAACAAGGCGCTTCATTGTATCCTACGGGCATTTCGGGTTACTTCTTTTGCATGCCAGATCTGGTGGGGGCGAAATTAGCCTAAAGGAAAGTGGCATTTGCAACACGCCTTGAAGCCATTTGCAGATTTTCTACCCTATTTCTTCAACAATCTTTAGGCTAATTTTCTGTTCTGCAATTATGGCTGCAACTTTGCATGAGATGGCTACTAATTTCTAGAAGTTAGATCGCTTTGATGGGGGCAACTTTATTCGATGGCAACGCAAGATGCACATCCTTCTCACAACTCTCAACATCGTTTATGTTCTCACTGATGCTCGACCAGAGGAAAATGAGAATGAAACTTTGCAAGATACAAGGAAAAGAAAAAAGTGGGAGAATGATGATTATGTCTGCAGGGGCTGCATCTTAAATGGTATGTCTGATTCCCTTTTTAATACTTATGTTCATGAGTCTACTGTAAAAGAATTGTGGGATAAGTTAGAAGCAAGATAAATGAATGAAGATGCAACAAGTAAGAAGTTTCTGGTGACCAGATGGAATAATTATAAAATGATTGATAACAAATCAGTCATGGAACAATTTAGAGAAATTGAAAAGTTGCTGAATAGTTTCAAGCAATATGATATGAAGATGGATGAATCCATAGTTGTGTCTTCAATAATTGATAAACTTGCTCATGCATGGAAAGATTTCGAGAGAACATTAAAACAGAAAAAGGAAGATATTTCTCTTGAAAATCTTGCTAACTCTTTGAGACTTGAAGAGCAATATAGAGCAGAAAGTGCAAGTCTCGGATGTGCATGTATTGGATTAAGGAACTTCAAGCAAGCCCAAAAAGCCTTTCAAGAAGAAGGAGTATTCTGTCAAGCAAAATCAGAAATTTAAGAAGCAAAAGGGTGCATGTTTCCATTGTGGAAAAACTAGACACTTCCAAAGGGAGTGTTATTTTCTCAAGAAGAAAAGGAAAGCACCAGCATTAGCACATGAAAAATTCATTGCTGTGATTTCTGAAATTAATCTCATGGAAGATGACACTGCTTGGTGGATAGATTCTGGTGCTACAAAGCATGTTTGCAAGGACAAAAGTTTATTCAAGACTTTAAAACTAGAACCTGAAGGAAATGTGCTGTATGTGGGAAATTCTGCAGCAGTACAAGTGAAAGGCAAAGGAACCGTGGACCTTGAGTTCACTTCTGGAAAAGTTCTCACTCTCACTGATGTGCATTATGTGCCAGATATAAGAAAAAATCTAGTTTCAGCAAGCTTGTTGAACAAATTTGGTTTTAAACTTGTATTTGAGGCAGAGAAATTTATTCTGTCTAAGGGTGGGATTTTTGTAGGAAAAGGTTATGCTTATGAGGGCATGTTCAAGATGAACATTAATTATAATATTAATAATAAGGGTGTTGTTTCTGCTTATATTCTTGACTCATTTAATTTATGGCATCATAGATTAGGACATGTTAATTTCAAGAAGATGTATGAGATGTCTAAATTAGAACTAATTCCTACCTTACCTAAAAATGAATCACAATGCAAGACATGTAGGCTTACTAAGATTACTAGAATACCTTTTCCTAAGATTGAAAGAGTTTCTAAATTGCTTGATCTTGTGCATAGTGATGTTTGTGACATGCATAGTACTCCTTCTATTGGTGGCAAGAAATATTATGTTCCTTTTATTGATGATTATTCAAAATTCTGTTATGTTTACTTGTTAAATACAAAAGATGAAGCAATGGAAAAATTCAAAGTTTATAAAGTAGAAGTGGAATTGCAAACTGAGACATTTATCAAATGTCTAAGAACTGATAGAGGTGGGGAATATTATGATCCATCTTACTTTGAATCCACTGGAATTATCCATGAGATAACAGCCCCATACACACCACAACAAAATGGTGTGGCAAAACGTAAGAATAGAGTTTTAACTGAAATGGTGAATGCCATGTTATCAAATTCTGGTTTAAGTCCAGGTTTTTGGGGTGAAGCATTGCTAACAGCATGCCATATATTGAATAGGGTGCCTACTAAAAAAGGCCAACTTATCCCATATGAACTTTGGAAGAAAAGAAAACCAAACCTTAACTATTTAAGAGTTTGGGGGTGTAAAGCAATTGTAAGAGTACCTGAACCCAAAAGGAAAAAATTAGGTGAAAGAGGAATTGAATGTATATTTTTGGGGTATGCAAAAAATAGTAAGGCATACCGGTTTATGGTCATTGAACCAAATGATTCAATTAATGTCAATACCATAATTGAATCAAGAGATGCTATTTTTGAAGATAGCAGAGTTAATTCAATTCCTAGACCTAAAGAAGCAATTACTGAAAGTTCAGAACAAAGAATAGAAGACAACTTGGAAGAAAACAAGTTGGAAGAAAACATTGAAGTTAGAAGAAGCAAAAGAGCTAGAAAAGCAAGAACATATAGTCCAGAATTTTACATGTTTCTTATTGAAGGAACAAGAGAAAAGACAAGAAAAGCAACTAAATTTTGTTATAATATAGAAGCTGATCCTGTGACATTTGAAGAAGCAATTAAGTCACAAGATTCAGCTTTTTGGAAGGAAGCCATAGATGAGGAAATGAGTTCCATAATGGGGAATAACACATGGATTTTAGTGGATCTTCCACCAGGTTGCAAATGGTTATAATATAGAAGTTGATCCTGTGACATTTGAAGAAGCAATTAAGTCACAAGATTCAGCTTTTTGGAAGGAAGCCATAGATGAGGAAATGAGTTCCATAATGGGGAATAACACATGGATTTTAATGGATCTTCCACCAGGTTGCAAACCTATAAGTTGCAAATGGATTTTCAAAAAGAAACTGAAAGTTGATGGCACAATAGACAAATTCAAGGCAAGATTAGTGGCAAAAGGCTATTCATAAAAGCATGGTATAGATTATTTTGATACCTATGCTCCAGTAGCAAGGATTGCCACTATAAGAGTATTAATTGCTTTGGCATCAATTTACAAATTGGTAATTGACCAAATGGATGTTAAAACAGCATTTTTAAATGGTGAATTAGATGAAGAAGTATACATGGAGCAACCAGAAGGGTTTGTGATGCCTGGTCAAGAAAAAAAAGTTTGCAAGCTTATAAAATCCTTGTATGGACTTAAGCAAGCTCCTAAACAATGGCATCAAAAATTTGATGAAGTGGTGCTTGCTAATGGCTTCAAATTAAATGAAGCAGATAAATGTGTTTATAGCAAGTTTAAAAATGGACAAGGTGTTCTTATATGCCTATATGTAGATGACATGCTCATCTTTGGTACCAACATAGAACAAGTTGAAGAAACCAAAAGGTTCTTGTCTAGAAACTTTTCCATGAAAGATATGGGTGCTGTTGATGTGATTTTCGGAATAAAAATTCATAGAGATGGTGATAATTTAATCCTTTCTCAGTCCCATTATATAGAAAAAGTCTTGAAGAAATTTAATTTTTATGATTGTGCAATTGTTTCTACACCTTTTGATCCTAATGTAAGGTTAACATCTAATGATGGAAAACCAATTGCACAATTAGAATATTCAAGAGTGATTGGATGCTTGATGTATGCAATGATTTGCACAAGACCAAATATAGCATACGCTGTTGGGAAACTTAGTAGATACACAAGTAATCCCAATTCTTTACATTGGCAAGGAATACATAGAGTCTTGAAATATCTCAAGAAAACTATGTATTATGGCATTTGCTATAATGGTTATCCTTCTGTACTAGAAGGCTTTACGGATGCTAGTTGGATCACGGATCATGAGGATCATAAATCCACAACTGGATGGATTTTCATGCTTGGTGGGGGTGCTGTTTCTTGGGGATCCAAGAAGCAAACTTGCATAACAGATTCCACCATGGCAGCTGAGTTTATTGCCTTAAACTCTGCATGTAAAGAAGGTGAATGGTTGAAAGATTTATTATATGAAATTCCTTTATGGCCAAAGCCAATGTCCCTGATCTCAATACATTGTGATAATGAGGCTACATTAGCAAAAGCTTATAGCCAAGTATATAATGGAAAGTCTAGACATATTGATCTAAGACATAGTTATGTAAGGCAATTAATTGTTGATGGGGTGATCACCATAGACTATGTGAAGTCTAGCGAAAATTTAGCAAATCCTTTAACAAAAGGATTAACAAGAGAAAAAGTATATAAAACATCTATAGGGATGGGTCTCAAGTCCGTTGATAAAAGTTACACATGATGGAACCTCGACTTAACGCTTGATAAAAACTTCAAGTCTTGAGTTTAATGAGTAAAGTACATCATATGAATGTGACTGCAAGTACTCAATTTATTAATAATACCATCCCAAGTGGAAAAAGTACTTGGTAACCGTATGAAATAAAAAAGAGGTTGAGTTTTACTCTTAATAGGTCCTATAACATATTTCTGTTAAAGTGCTTAATGCAGTGGCACTTTTGATGGGATCTACCTATATGAGTGGAAGTGGTGCCGCTTCTAGGAGTTGGGGACTTGACTCTAATAGCACTCATGAAAAGGATACATGACACATGGCCAGTTTTTGTGTCGATGGATGCTGAATTCCTTCTTTGGAAAGCTTGAAGTCTTGTGTGTGACATGTGCCCAATTAATCACTTAGAATCACTGGTTCAAAGCATTAGTCTACCATGCAATTCTGACTAATTTGCCAACACATGTTCACTAAGTGAAAGGTTCAAATCGTAAGATATCTTCATGTATGCATAAGATTTCCAAAACAATTGGTGGGCTATTCTATTTTGAAAATGGTGGGGGAATGTTAAAGAATTTTCAAAATATTTCCAGGATTTGGGTTCGAATCACAAAAAGTTGATTCGAAGCAATTGCGCAAAATGCATTTGGGAAAGTGTAACTTTGGTTCAAACCATAATTATATGATTCGAATCATTTACGGAAAATCAAAATCCGAAAAGTTACGCTTTTGGTTCGAATCACATTTTTCTGGTTCGAATCATTTACGTCAGAATAAGAGATAAAATTCAGATAAGAGATAAAATTCAGATAAGTTTCTAAAGAGAGTGGATAACTTTGGAAGGCAAGGAAACACATCATTTGGAATTCAAATCAAACCAAATGACTTTTGGAAAAGTTTCCAACGGATAAATTTCATGATAACTCAGTTATTATCCGTTAATAAACTGATAATAATTGAAAAGGAGCGTCTGTTCACAGCAGACATCTTGCCCCT